GGATAATTGATCCCTTCTCTTACAGGAAGCATTGACATTATTAACAATCGAAGTGGAGGTACCAAAGAAATCAAAGACGGAAGAACAACACTTGGCAACTGAGACAACCACTAATTGCAATTGGTGTGCAAAACAATGTATGTAAAAAGCATATGGATTTTCATCTAATATCCTTCTTTGCAACCCATGAAACTCTCCCCTCATGTTTGATGCCCCATCATACCCTTGCCCACGCAATCTAGAAATTGACAATCCATGAGATGCAAACATACCATCCAAAGTATTTTTCAGAGACGATGATGAGGTGTCAGGAACTTCATGAATACCAAGAAATCTCTCAATCACTTGACCTCGTGCATTGACATACCTACAACAGTCATGAAAAACAAAAGAATGACATTAGAATTTAGAAACAACTAGAATGACATTACAAATTAAATAAAAACAGCAAGCTGGACAGTACACACTAACCTCAAAACAACGACCATTTGCTCCTTGATAGATGCATCTCGAGCCTCGTCAACTAGAATGGCAAAGGGTCTATCCCCAAGATCTGTAAGAATGGCTTTGGTGGTCAAATCTGCACAAGCTCTACACATGTCTTTCTGAATTTCTGGAGAAGTCATTTGATTGTGACGCAGCAAAGTTGCTGCGTTTTTATCCTTAGCTTTGTACCATTCTACCATCTCTAAGAAATTCCCCTTATTGCTTGAGCTGGACGATTCATCATGTCCACGAAAAGCATGTGCTTGCAATAAAAGGAACCTTATAACTCCCAATATAATAAGCAGTCGACCTTTATATTCCTCCTCCGACTTCTTACCACCACGGTTAATCACATGTGCCACACTTTGTCTTTGGTTTTTGAAATCCTCGTAAGCCCTCCTAGACTTATTGTGATCTATACCATTAGAGTGGGCATCAATCAATTCCCACCCATCCTTCCATCCACGAAACCCATTGACCGTGAAAGCATCAACACCAAAATTTTCAGCTCTAGGCTATTTGAAGAGATAACAATGAAAACAAAATGCGGCATCTTTCGCAATACTGTATTCCAACCATGCATGATTATTGAACCACACATCATGAAATGACCTATTGCGGTTGTATATCTTCCTTTTTGGATTACTATGACCTCTTGGTTGGCATGGACCCTTAGAAATATAAGCTCTTCTAACTGCATCCCTAATGTTTGGATCCATTTGCTCAATTGGAATCCGAAGCCCAGGATCAGCAACAACGTCTTCTTCACTAGCAGCAACAGGGGGATTATTTTGCAAATCATTTGCATTGCTAGGTACTTCTTCTGTTGTTTCTGGTTCTTGGACAACTTGTGCTTCTACTACTTCTGATTGTGGTTGTGAAGATGATTGTATTTGTGGCGCTGGCGCTGGTTGTATAATTGGCATAGGAGCCGGAGTAAAAAATGATCTTATTGACTTGCTGCTGCTCCCAGTCCCCTGCCCCTGCCTGCTCCTCTTCATTATGCAACTCTAAGTCTCTACTCTCTAATTTCATTCATTCAATTCCTAATAGATCAGGAAGATTTAACATGAAATTAGAAATTAGAACATTGGAGACGATGGGGAAAAGGTGGATTAGCTACTCACCAGTGATCAGGAGCCGAGAGGCAGGAGCTGCGCTCGTGCTGGCGTGCACCGAGCGGCCCTCGGCTTCGGCCGTCGGCGCCTCGCGGCCTCGGCGGATGGCAGACATACGGGCAGCGGCGGCGCGGCGCCTAGGGTTGGCCGACAACGTGCAGCGGCGCGAGAACAGGAAGTCGAAGAGGGAGTCGCGCGCCTCGCGATTGGGAGAAGACGCGCGGAGCGGCGCCTGCGCAGCTACGCTGCCTCCTTTTTCCCTCCGTGGCTCTCTTCCTCTCTGCTGGGCTGGCAAATTTGGCCCAATGCCTAGCCCCAGACCTAAAAACTACTTATATCCTAAAGAATTTTTTGGGCTGCGACTAGGGCCGTGGCCCTAGTGGCCCTAGGCCCAAATCCGCCCCTGGGGGTAACACCATACAGTGAATGAGGTACACAGACCACAAGTCACACATATATAATTGCCCACAGTTCATGATATAATGGCAAACTATATACCCCAGCAACAAAATCACACATTGTGTTATCCTCCAGTACATAAACATACATGTGAGACAATCTACATTATTGCCTCCGTTGCATCCAGCGGTTGTCACCGCTCTAATTTCCACCACCAGTCCCTTGGCTTCTAGTTGCACCCCGCAAAATAACTTCCATGATTGCTACCATTGACTTAAACCTCACGACGAGCCTATGCAATTAGATGGTGATCAGAGAGGCTACCAGTCTGTAAACTAAACTGGAAACAAGTGTAATTATAACATATATAGGGGCAAACAAACAGGGAAGAATAACTCGCTACAACCGTGCCCCCCTTTACATAAGGCGGACTCTTCCTCCACTATAAAGGAACAGTCAAAATAAAGTTAGGTACACCTCCAAATTGTGTCCCCTCCGTTGAGATAGTTCAGCCTTTGTGTACCACATAATTTTGTAACCAAGAATACAACAACGTTAAAATCAAAGGCTTGTAATCCTCCTTTAGAGGCTTCAACTCAATCCAAGGGTCGTGGTTCTTTCTATCATCCCTCAACCTTCACTCTTATATTGCAGTTAAACATAGATGTAGCAGAATTGCCGATCGAAGATGATGTCAGACAAATAGTTGATCAACAACAAGACGAGTACAGGAAGCATGCAGACGATGATGTGAAGTCGATAGTCTCGAACAAACCGATAAAGGCATCATCCTGACATAGTAAACTTAAGAATTCAAGCAATGCAGAAGTCCCGCCTCAAGGTGGGTGGTCTTAAATTGTATCTTCTTTATTTATTTGTGAATTAAATAAAAAATACTATCGCCTAGATTGCAAGTATATTATTATAACTCTACGAGGAGTCTTCGAAAAAAAACTCCACGACGAGAGAGTTTATATTTTTTTTTTAAGTTTTAGAGAGTATATAATAAGATAATACTACTAGGCTTGTTTGTGCTAGGTGGCATCGATCGACCATTACTGATCAATCTGGAGTGATCAGCCACTAGCTGCATATGCTAACTTTAATAATATGTTATCTGCGGCAGGACAAACTAATTGATAAATAAACTAATAATCGAGAATTTCAACGACGCTCATAGATGCTGGTTACACGTGCATGCACGTTCGTTTCAGTATAGTCCCCTCCATCCCAAAATAAATCAATTTCAGAAAATGACACCAAATATGTATATAGTAAAAATATATTTCATGATGTATATAGTAATACTAAATTAGTGTCTTAAATATTGATGCACTTTTCTATAACTTTGACTAAACTTATGACAATTCTAGAAGCTAAATTAATTTGGAACAAAGAGAGTATATAGTTATATATGTCTATTTCAAGGATCTTTTTTTAGAAGTCATGACACTACCCCAGCAAAATAAATTTCTGTGACGGACGAAACCGTCAGGGAAGCCCCTACTGGTTAAGATATGTATAAATAAAAAAATGAGTAGTTCAAACAAAATAAGAGGAGAAAATAAGAAGAAAATTAAGAAACACGCAACAAAATATTCCATCACAGCGCTCACGAGACGCGAACAAAAATTCACACGTCTTAGAAAGATTGCAAAAACAAATAGCACCGTGTTTCTTTTTAAAATCTGCAGTCCTACTATTAACCATGTCAAATTAACGGTTGATTTTTAGCATAATTATTTATGGCATGTGACTATATATATATTTCTCCAGTGACTGAAACTAACATACTTTTTATCAAGAATTGTTCTACCCTTTTTTTTATTGGATGCCTCCCAATAAGGGCATATTCTAGGCAAAAGATTACAAAATAAATTATGAGGCACGAGGGCTGTATGACAAAATATAAATTAGCATCATGCACTTTAGAAAAAGCACGCAATACTTATAATCCACAGAAAAAAATAGCTAGAAAAACTCCACAACAGTTTCCTCATTCAAGATTAATTAAGTTTAGAATTGAAAATTCTGTCATATAGCCTTCGTGCCTCATAGTTATTTCTCATTTTGGAATAAGTTATATGTCCTGTCTGCAATAAAAAATATATTTGTTCCTTAGATCAAAAAAACCTTTGAGCAAAGCATGGATCAAAGAACATAGGTAGTCAATGGAAATGCCAAAATTATAACTTCAAAATAATAAAATTATAAGATAATACTCCTCGGCAATAGAAAAATGATTGGCATAGCAGTCCTAATTTGTTAGAGAAGATTTCTTTGCAGCAGAAGGATAGTAGAAAGGAACAATAGTAGAATAATAGGAGGCTAATATATTTCGTAAGTTTTATGGTGCAAGACGATGGTCCCCCTAGTTTTATCATCGATGTGTTATCAAATGGTGTAACTAATCTCAATCAATAAAGCTCGCGATTTGTCAAAAAGGTTGCCAAGCCATCCTCCACCGTCTAGAAGGTTGTCGCTTGTTCTTTAATTGCGTTATTGTTTTCCTCACCGGACACTAATATATGTACTCCATCCATCATGCCAGCAACTTTCCTTTTAATTGGAATCATGCATCTTCCGAGGTCTGCCATGACAGCCACTCTCCGGATAATTCGTATCTGAATCCAAACATTTAATATCCGTCCGTATCTTAATCCGAATACTCAAAATCAGATTTCTGATATGTATATGAGATAGATATCAATATTCAAATGAGCCGATCTGGTTCTATGGTCCGCAAAGAATATAGGATATAATATCAAATATAGGAAATAATGCAGGATCACTGGTATCCATCTGTACCGATCTGGTTTCATCCAGAGTCTTAGCCGCCAGCACAACATATAAAAATTCAAAATGAAGTTGCAATTCGTCCTTTACGCTATTACCACTCCTAGTCTATATATAAATTTAGCCACGGTCGCCACCATCATGTCCAACGGGCATAACCAGAAAGATCGAGCACACGCAATTAAAGTAGGTATAGCCACAATGGAGAAGGTGCTCGTGGCCGTGGCCGTGGTGGTGGTGTCCGTCATCCTCTCCAAGCTCATCAAGTGTTTGCTTGTCACCAAGCCAAAAAAGCTTAAGCTGCCCCCAGGGCCCTGGAGGCTGCCGTTGATAGGCAGCATGCACCACCTCATAAGAAACCCATTGCCGCACCGGGCAATGCGCGACCTCGCGCACAAGCACGGGCCGCTCATGATGCTCTGGCTGGGCGAGTTGCCCACGGTGGTGGTGTCATCGCCGGAGGCTGCGCAGGCGATCACCAAGACGCACGACATCACGTTCGCTGACCGTCACAGGAATAGCACCCTCGGCATACTCAGCTTCAACGGGTGCCTGGCGTTCGGGAGCTACGGCGAGAAGTGGCGCCAGCTCCGCAAGCTCTGCATGCTACAGCTGAGATTTTTTTTTAATTTTAACACTTTTTGAAAACTAATTTTAAATCTAACACTTCCTGTTTTTTTTAACTAACACTTTTGGCCGCGCCTATTGCCCTGGCGCGGCCAAATGCCTGTGCCGCGCCATGCATGATGGCGCGGCAGAGGACTGACGTGGCGGCGACCGGAATCGCGATCGTTGACATGGCAGGGCTCTGCCGCACCACCGATCTTGGCGCGGCAGGGCCAAATAAATATCGCGAGCGAGCCCGCCCGCCCGCACGCACGCCTGCCCGCCCGCCCTCCAGCCGCACGCGCCCCGCCGCCGCGCAGCGCCTGCCCGCCCACGCCATGCCGGCACGCGCCCGCGCCGGCGTTGCCCGCCCGCCCACGCCGCGCCCGCCCACTCCCCAAACAGCGCCCGCGCCGGCCGCGCCACGAACGCCGGCGCGTCAAGGCCACCCGCTCCTAAGGTACCTCCCTCTCGATTTCATGTTATTTTGATTATTATTGATTTAGGATAATTAGTGATTTAGGATAGTTAGTAATTTAGGATAGTTAGGGTTTTATGATTGTTATTGATTTATGATAGTTAGTGATTTAGGATAGTTAGTGGTTTAAGATAGTTAGTTTAGTGAATTTGTTTGAGATTTACGTAGGTAGTTTTTAGGTTTGAGGTTGTGTGTTCTAGTATAGTTAGGATTTTGGGTTTAGGGATTGATTAGGTATTTATTATTTAGTTTATAGTTAGTTATTTAGTTAGGGATTTTGGGTATAGATACTAGTTTATAAATGTCGGTACTTACTAGTATGTGATACGTCGATTTTGATGACTTCATGAAGTTTCGTCAAATGCTTATATTCCTAGTGAAGTTGTTTATGTAACTAGTGCATGATATGTCTATTAATGTTACTTTGAATATATACATGTGCTTTCATATTGTGTTCGTATTGCATAACAAGTAGTTCAAATTTTGAATACTCTAACGCTTTGTTTATCAATTTGTAACAGGACGGCCCCTCCCACGTAGCACCCGTCGTACCCCATTCTTGAGGTGGGGTACGATGACCAGCACCGAGCACACATCTTGAGTGACAACGACGCCAAGGTGGCCTTGCCTACTTTGAGGCCCCGCACGCACACCAGGGCGCACCTGTGGGACGAGCGTTACGTGCCGTACATACGGCGTGCTAGCTTCCTCGAGCTTGTCCGTGTTGTCAACCACGGTCTTCCGCCCCTTGACCCAGCACTACTTACTACAGCTGTAGATAGGTGCGAGTGCATTCTTTGTACGCAAACTTTCTTGTAACAAATTTGAGGCAACTAACAGTCGTTCTATTCTTATAACAGGTGGAGCCCTGAGACCCACACATTCCACCTACCTTGTGGCGAGATGACCTTGACCATGCAGGACGTGAAGGCTATTTTTGGCCTTCGGTTGGGGGGACTTCCAATGACAGGGCTAGTTGACAACAATCATTGGAGGGGGCTAGTGACTTAGTTTACTGGCTTTCTTCCACCGGACGACGAGGCTTCCAAAAAAAATAAGTGAGAAATTCAAGCCTATTTAATATTTGCATTGCTTTCCTGCAGCCATCGGGTCTCATTTTCTTTGGTAAATTTCACGAAAACTTCTGGTGTTTCGTCATCCTAGATCACGGAGCGCTTTGATTACTTGGACCCATATGCTGAGGAGGCTTAGATCGACAAGTTCGCTCGAGTGTGGCTCTGGCACTTTCTTGGTGCTTTCCTCTTCCCAGACACCTCGGGCAACACCATTAGCTGGATGTTCCTTGACATACTACGCCAGCCGTGGGAGAACATAGCGGCGTACAGCTGGGGCAGCGTAGTCCTAACATGGACATATCGATAGCTATGCGTTGTTTGCCGTCGCACCTCAAGGTATGCGAACCTTGGGGGTTGCTCGTACCTACTCCAGGTTTGGTGTTGGAAATGATGGCCCATTGGGAGGCCCCTTAATACTGGTTTACCGGTAAGTACTTCGGTTCATTATATTCTTCGATATGGTTACATATGATGAGTTTATTAATGGCTAATTCATTATCGTGTTCAATGCAGCAATGGAACGGGCATGATACACTCCCTACAGCTCTGTTTATCTGGACGTAATCAGAGTTAGTTAGAGGGAATGTGAGGCGCAAGTACAAGGAGTACACGGACGGTCTCGACGTCCTGACACAGCACCAGTTTACGCTCTCTTTACTATCATACTTGTGTCTTGTTTGATCTACACTATATCACAGCCTAACTCAATTATGAAATATTCAGGTGCATTGGTGTCCTTGGGATGCTCCGGAGCTCTAGTACTATCTCTGTCCTGTCACTAGGGACGGGTCAGAGGAGTATCGCTGCAATGTCCCTCTTATTTTCTTCCACGTGGTCGAGATTCACTTGCCCGTCAGGGTCTCTAGACAGTTTGGAAGAATGACAGGCTGCCCACCACCGCTTTACTCCACCAACTAAGGATTGCATGGGTGCGTTATCGATTAATAATAAAGCTACAATTCAGAGGTGCGTGTGGTACAACTAACATTGTTTTGTTGCAGGTATGACCGCAGGAAGAGGTACAAGACCAAGGATTGGCGCATGACATACATCGCGCACATCCACTTGTGGGAGACCAGGCAACGGTAGCCGGTCCATGCAGGTCCTCTACACGACCAACACACCTTCGACGAGTACCTGCACTGTCTTCACAGGTCTACAAGGACACATATCAAGCCCCAGTACACTGACGAGGCGATTAACGAGGACTCAGAGGAAGATGTGATCGAAGATGTGTACGACGTTGCCACTAGAGAGGACACACAGCTATGGAGAGCCCCGCTACAAAGATACGTGGTAAGATAATTGAATGGTACAATTTGTTATCCATTTGGTATTAAGTATGTATACTAAAACTGTTCAACGAATCAGCGTTCCAGCTTCACGAGTCTAGAGGGCAGGGGTCAGGCGTTCTCGAGGCTTTTATGGAGGTAAACATAAACTAGTCCGTTCCAAAAATGTTTCTTTAGTATATATGCGTTTGGGAAATGCACTAACTTTAACGTCTATTTATGTAGAAGGTGAAGAAGAGCTGCAGGAAGCTAGCTCAAAAGCTGAGCTGCATGGACAGTCCTTATGAGGAACCGCCACTCCCGGCATGGTCGGGTGGCACGTCATCAGCCTCTTTGAGGACACCAGCCAACTCTTCTCAGACGGTGACAGGTGCCACTTCCGCGGTGCGTACACCACCACATCATAGCGTTGGGAAGGACCCTGCAACCGAGGACGACGAAGATGAAGACGACGACCCCCCGGGCTTCTGCAGACAGCACGACCAGTGGGACGATTGGCCACAGGACGAGATCGACATGTCTCAGCTAGGTGGTTCCCCGCTTGGTACCCAAGGAGCCTCATAGGTACTAACAAAGGCAGTTTCTTTAAATACGTAGGCTACATGAACTAACGATCATAAAGAATTCTAAGTAATCGTGCATATCATATACTTGTAGGGTACGAGCCGTACGCACCGGCGACGCGACCACACCGACGTTGGCTACACTCCCAATGTGTTGCCAACAAATCCGAAGAGACAGAGGCGTCCGAAGGATCCTTACACTCCTGGGTCTTAGTGTGTTAGGTCGAACTATTATTAGCGTCCAAAACTTGCAGGCTTAGTTGGTTATGTTATGTCGAACTTATGTCAAACCAATGAAAATGTTATGTGGCAGCTTGTCAACTTGCGCACGGACTTAATTTATTTGCTTCATATTCGTTTCAATGCGTCGCGGCATCACTGCATGCGAGATTAAGTAGCAACTAGTTCGGAAACTGGTAGTCCCGGGGTATCTCGACGCCGGTGGCCGGCGTCTTGCGTGAGGGGTCGAGGAAGCTGGGGTCTATGGTCGCGTTGCCGCCGATCCTACAATATGGGGCCAAAAAGCCAAATAAATAAGTTCCCTTAAAAAATATTCGTTTCAATCCGATCTAATTTTTCGTAATCGATTAGTTAACATGGTTGTTAACCATATTATCAAAGACGGAAAAAAATCATTGGCTTATGAAATTCTCTATTCGGCCGTGAAAAAAATTCAACAAAAGACAGAAATAAATCCACTATTGATTCTACGTCAAGCAATACTTAGAATAACTCCAACTATCGTCGCGACGCGTTCCGATTAAACCATCTAGGTACCGCCGGGCGAGCGTCGGACGCGGCGGCCAGGCGGGCTTGCTGCTCGGGCAGGCAGGACTGGCCGCGGGGTTTTATTCGGCTCTGCCGCACCACGGATCAGGGCGCGGCACTACCGCGCCAAGGTTGGTGGCGCGGCAGGCCCTGCCACGTCAACGGTCAGCGAATCCGGCCGCCGCCACGTCAGCCCTATGCCGCGCCACCATGCATGGCGCGGCACAGGCATTTGGCCGCGCCAGAGCAATAGGCGCGGCCAAAAGTGTTAGTTTAAAAAAAACAGGCAATGTTAGATTTAAAATTAGTTTTCAAAAAGTGTTAAAATTAAAAAAAAATCACAGCTGATGAGCACCGCCGCGTGCACTCCTTCCAGCGCATCCGTGAGGAGGTGGCACGGTTCATGCAGAGCCTCGCCACGTCCGCCGCCGGCGGCACCGTGGTCGACCTGTCCAAGATGATCTCTAGCTTCGTCAACGACACCTTCGTCATGGAGTCCATCGGCAGCCGGTGCAAGTATCAGGACGAGTACCTGGATGCCTTGGGCACTGCAATCGAGCTGATCACGGAACTAAGCGTAGCTAACATCTTCCCGTCATCTAGGCTGTTGCAGAATCTTAGCACGGTGCCACGCAGAGCGATGGCGTGCCGCGACCGGATGACGCGCATCGTTGGGCAGATCATCCGCGAGATGAAGGAAGGCATGGACCGGGGTGACAAGGCTTCAAACGAGAGCTTGATATCTGTCCTGCTCAGCCTGCAGAAAGAGGCTAGCTTGCCCATCGAGCTCACCGATGACATCGTCATGGGGCTCATGATTGTAAGTCGTACCCCTACTATAGAATGGACTTGTTGTCCTAGACGGTAACGGCCTTTAGTCCCGGTTACTGCGCCGGGACAACGATCTCGGGACTAAAGGTGTAGTCCCGGTTGGTAAAGTCCCGGTTACTGCGCCGGGACAACGATCCCGGGGCTAAAGGTGTAGTCCCGGTTGGTGTTACCAACCGGGACTAAAGGCCCTCCAGCCGAGCAAACGTGGCCGCACCCTTTAGTCCCGGTTGGTAACCCCAACCGGGACTAAAGGTTCCTTTTCTTTTTCTTTTTTTTGTTTAATTTGTTTTCAGTTCAGTTACACGTATTTGTTTAATATATAATATGTTTTTATGTACGTATTCTACGCTGCTAATATAAATACACGCACGCATATAATTACATCTAATTCTCATCTTGAGCATTATTATATTCGAATAAAGTATGAACCTATATATATTATAGATATATATATGTATATATACAACACTTTCTTAATCTTGTTCTCGAAAATAATGATATCAATAAACATTTAATTTACACCATTTATTCCTTAGGATCAAAGTAGAACTCGCCGTTGGGATTTAGCACTTTTTCTAGAAGAAATCCTGCTATTGACTCTTGAACTGCTTTCAGATGGTCTTTTTGCATGACCCTTCGTTTGAACCATTCAGTCTTGCATTTGAAATAAAAGGAAAAGTATTAATACATATATATATGTTCATTTAAAAATAAATAAAAAATTGATATATACGCTATCTCGAGCACATCTTTAGGAGTTCTTCTTATGTGTGCAGTGATAAATTCACAAACGTAGTATCCACACAAGTTATTACACAGTTGTCGCCATAAACACACCTTTGTCTGAGAAGAAGATTTTTCTCATCATCTCACACGTAAATTGAAGTATGATATAGTAATTAAACACGTGGGGAAGTGTATATAGTACAACTTACTTGTATTTCAACTACATTAAGTGGTGCCTTGCAATCCTTGCGATGTTGCCGAATAAACTCTTTCCAAACCCTGTGCGACCAATAATGTACGATCGTTAATAAATTATGGCAAAGTCTATTCAATAATAGTTGTGCGCGAGAGATCGAAATTACCCCTGAATAATGTCTATCATATCTTGGTATAGTGCCCGCTCTTTTCTCAACGAGTCAAAGATTACTAACCGACTTGAGTTTAACTCAATGACAATGAGTATCCAGTGAAAACTGCATTGGTTTATACACACACGTACATGCATATAAGTTGTATTGATATTACATAAAATGTGTAGACTACATTATTATTAACACTTACTCAAAGTTGTATGGGAAAAGTATTGTTGTCTTGTCGTGCTGCTTCATGAAGAACATCATGATATTCTCCTGTGCTTCAGATACCCACCGCTCCTTGATAATAATACCGGTTTTGAATACGATATAAGGATCAATGAAGCCAACACTGGTGTCTTGTATTCTTTGGAGCTCTGACATCTGGAATCTGTATATAAATATAAGTTACATGTGAGGATAATTATATACACGTACGCATGGAAGTGAGTTTATTAAATAAAAGTAAGAATCACTTACAAACAAAAGGAGCTAATGATTGATTTGTCCAGAGCGTCCAAGTGGTATAGTTGATGCAATTCTTCGAAACTAATATGTAAGATGTCATCACCACGGAAGTAATGATGGTCTCTAAATCTGATAAAGATCCACTGCTCACCCCTGCCACACGCCTGCATGTACCACTTGTTGAGCAAGTACATTTGCGTACCCAATTCATTCAGAGCCGCAGGGTTGTACAGACTTTTGCCATATTTATAAGTCTTCTAGGTATCAACTTCCAGGTTCTGGATTAGAGCTTTGCCCATTAATTGATCCAAGGTTAAACCAGTATCTTCAAAAAAAGCATTAAGGGCTTGAACCGATACTTCTCCAGAGTTGTCTGGTCGATAGACTTCTATGTTGGAACCATATTCATTAGCAACAACAAGATTTTGCATTGGTTGCTTCTGTTGTCCGAGCTGTGGGACATCCTTTCCTGATGCTCTTTTCCTTTTCTTATCTGCATCATGTGACTTCACGAGGGAGCGGTCATAGTCTGATAGTGGCGAAGGCTTACAAAGTTCAATCATCTTTTTCTTGTGAGCATCGACCTTCTGCCTCAGCACATCTCGTGGTATGTAAAAAGTACGGCTTCTCCTTAAGCTTCGCTTGACTCTTGTTTTTGATATCTATAAAAAATCTTTCACTTTTTGTCTTCTTCATTTGCTATTTGCTCATCGGTCTTTTCAGGAAATATTTCTTGAGAAATAACTCTTTTTCTCAGGGTCTTCTTTGCTTTTGGGACCTTAGACGTCTTTGTAAAAGGTCATTTGTGGAGGGGGGGGCGGTGTTGGAGACCGGCGTGGAGGCGATGAGGCGGTGTTGGTGGAGACCGGCGTGGAGGTGTTGGAGATCGTTGTGGAGGCGGTGGGGCGGTGTAGGAGTTGGAGATCGTTGTGTGGCGATGGGGCGGTGTAGGAGTTGGCGATCGCCGTGGGGATGAAGTCGTCGCCCCCCCACGCATATTTGTGATGAGATGGGGAATGAATGATTAGGCTAGGGTGGGGAGACCCTGCTACAAAAACAAGTTGTGTGTCAATTATGTTTGAAGCCAATAGAAAATTAATGGAAAATAATATTTCATTCACTTTCATTCGTACCTAGGGTGAGGTAGGGGAAGCGGTGGCGCCCCAGGAATGATGATGAAGCGTTTGCGCCATTGAATAAATGTCTTCTCCGCTTCTCCTAGTGTCTTCTCCCCATCACCGCCTTCAATGTCAAGAGGAACATTGCTGTAACCTTTGAGCACTCTATCGACCGAGACGCTAGCATATCCAGGTTGAATAACTGACCCATGGATTCTTGGTGTCTTCGTTCGGTCTATTGGAGATACAACCCCGACAACCACCATGATTGATGCATTATTACCATCTAGAATGTGCAGCTCACATGTTGTTAGAGGCTCGGTAATGTCATCAACAGGGAAGTGCAACCCAGCGTCGTCTTGAATAACTGGCAGCTCCGTAGAAGCACAACTGCTTTTCATCTGACCAACGGGGCTAATGGTGACTCTCGGCGTTGATTGCGATTGCATTTGACTCATTGCTAGCTGCACTTGTCTCTTGATCTCCTCCTGCATTATTGCCTCAAGAGATTTTTCTCGTTCATGTGATTCAAGCAATGCTTGTCGTGACTCATCAACAAATTGCTCCAATGCATGGATTCGTTCTGCCTCCTCATCCTTCTTTCTCTGGCGGCTTCTGTAGGTATCCTTGTCTGCTGGGAATGCGTGTATCCACAGAACCGCCCCATAGCCTCTTGTTCGACCACCGTGTTCGAGATTCTCTAGGGCATATGTCAATTCATCCTTCTCTCTGTTGGGCTTGAAAACATCACTATCAGCTTCTTCCCTAGCACGAGCTAGTTTCTGTGTTGCTCTCTCAATTTTTTGGCCAAAAATTAGCTTGCCAGTGTCTGGGTCTAGGCTTCCCCCATGAGCGTAGAACCAATTCTTCGCGCGTTGAGGCCAGTTCTTCTCTATTGTTTCAGGTATGATTCCCTTGGCAGTAATCTCTACTTCTAGGTTCTGCCACTTGGGAATAGCACTCCTATAACCACCTGATCCCATGCGATGATGGTATTGCTTCTGTCGGGCATTCTACCGATTCCTCATCACATGTTCCTCACTGCCTTGAGATGTCTTGTATTCTACGAAGGCATCCCAATGGGACTCCAACTTGACAAATGCCTTAGCATTGAAATCTGGCGTAGCATTCTTCAAGATAAACTTTTTATACAATGTCTTCTTCCAACTCTGGAACAATGTTGCCATCTTCTTCATTTTCCAATCCCTCACTAGCTCCTTCAAAGCATCATCTGCTTGTAATGTGAAATGCTGAGTGATATCTCTCCAAGCTAGGTTCTTGTCACGATCAGATACAAAACTAACATTAGGAGCGGATATCTTCTGCTTCCATTCACGAGCACTAACTGGGATCCTATCCCTTACAATGAACCCACATTGATTGACATATGTCTGAGCATGTGGTCCCAATGGTTTGCCGGTGTCGGTGTCAAATTTTGATATTATGAAACGGCCCTCTAATGGCTTTTTTGGCCCTCGAACTTTTCTACTTTTGTCGGTGGTTGATGTAGATCCAGAGACCGACTACATGAGTAGAAACACAATGATTAACAACAAATATACATACGCATGCATCTATAAGAGATGATAGATAATCGAATATATCTCGCTAGTATTTTCTTACGCGACAATTTGTTGATCTTCAACCACCGGCATATTCAGGATATCCTCATAATTAGCAAAGTACTGACTCGTGTCATCTACATCCACATTGGTGCCGGCGTTGATAATATCCTCCATTATGTCATCATCCGGAGCAGCCATTTGTATCTTCAAGATAACACATAGATAGAATTACTATGGTACATAACATAAGTACATGTGATAACACATATAGAATTACTAAATCCAATTAAATATAATAACACATAATATTTCATAAGGATAAACAATAATAAGGTATAGGCTTTGGAATCAAATCAAAAACACTTTCGATCCAAAAACATGGAAATAAGTACATGTATATATATACACATAGAATGATACAATATATTTTCTCTCTCTCTCAACACATAGAAATAAGTGCATATGTCTATATCTCTAGATATGCATGTGATAACACATAGAATGTCTCTCTAGATACAATTTTCTCTCTCTCTCAACACATGAAAATAAGTACATGTATATATACATATAGAAATAATTAAGTACATATGTATACATATAGAATCTCTCTATAGATATATATAGAGAGATAGAATATATAATTAGTAAATCCAATTAAATAAATCTAACATGAAATTAAATAAACTAGTAATAGATAATACATTTTAATCTAACATATATCAAAAACTATATTAAAAAACTATCTAAAAAACTATCTAA